CGATCAGTTTGGGTAATTTAGTGCACTGTTGTTATATAATATCGTAATTAAACAATGCGCGTAATAAATTTAATAATACTATATACGATCATTATTATTATATTATTCGGTTTCGCGAAGGATTTGGGGATAATGTATAGTTAGTAATGATAGATGTACGCGTCAAATCAACGTAACAAAGTCGCCGTTCGCATTTTAATAAAATATATATTTTTTTCTCGTATATCAGACTTACAGCAATCCATATCCTTGTATAAACCAACTTTTTTTTATGTTTTATTCTTTGTTTGCTTTATGATTTTAATAATACAATATTATATTTGTATATAATATTGCATAACTATAATGTCTTTAATCATAAATAACCTCGTGTAAATTGAGTGGACCTTCTGGTAGACGAGGTTTGACGTTCCGTGATGGATTTCGAACGTACACCGACAAATTTAACATTGCTGACATGTTTTTTGGTTACGTTTTGATGATATTAATAGCGGCCTGCTCTCCACGTTTTCATTTTTGACGGGTAAACGCGGGACAGGAGAAAAAATCATCTAAAACTAGGTCGCCTCCAAGCCTGCACGATCCTTTTTAGCTGATAAGGCACGTTTGCGGTTGGTTTGATCGGCCCGTCGTCGTCATCGTCGTCGGGCCATAAAGTCTTTTGAATGACGATCGTTGTGCATTGTATACGTATTACTATTTGAACCTCATCAATTGCTACCTACTTATTCCCAGCGCACGTATAATATTGTAACAGGCTCTCGTGTGCCAATGACCGTAATTGGGTCCGAGATAGCTCAGGGTGGGCAATCGTGACGTCCCGTTCGCCCGCATGTGTCACTGTTGAACGTAAAAATCCCATAACACTGTGTGTTACTCCGTATAATATACAATATATACAATTTATATTATAATATAATGTATACCATACATGTCAAACGCCAGAGTTCACCCATTATTACTGCGCTATAGGTCAATATGTATGTATAATATTATACGACCCGGGTTTAAACGCATTCATTCTGAAGTACGCAATAATAATAATGATAATAATGTCGCATACCTACCTATGAGTTCGACCGATCGATTCGTGTCGAACTACTCGCTGTGGATTTCAGCAGACAATCTAAAGAATTCGCATAGATAATGTATAATAAAACATCTGCAACCCATACGGCGAGTATACGCAATAAAAGTACGTCCGCGTATATTATGTACGTCGAAAATCGCACAGTTATCGAACATGATAGTATACGTATATAACACAACATGACGTTAACAGGCAAGCTATTATGATTTATCGTTAAAAAATAACCATGCTTATGAAAATTGCTTGAATAAATCAATAGTTTAAAACTTAGTACATTTTAATTGCATTTCCACACCCGGCACAACCTCGTTTTTAGAACATAATTTCTTGTAATTATAACACCCAAAATCGCATCCCGTAAATTCTCTCATCCCATATTCCCATATTATACCCATACAACATAATTAAGTATACGACTACGTGTAGAATACTATTCTTTTAAGGTTCTACTTATTTTTCTATGTAAATGTGAAAACAAATTGTATACATTTTCAAAGCTGTGAAACTATATGTTAAAAAATGAAGTAATGAACTAAATCATTTTTTTAATTTTTTATATTAAATGCTATTTAAATTATGAATTTTCTAATTATTTTTCGTTTTAATACGTTTTGTGTTGCAAAAAATGCATTAAATAGTTTAAAACACACATAAGTACATATATGGTCTTATAATTAATTTACGACAATTGGTTCGAACGATATGCACGCGTGTTCAATACAAAATGTGAACATAAATATTGTCTTGAACGCAATTAACAATTATTGCATGATGACTGTTTATGTTTCCAAAGATGATTTTATCTTATAAAAATTACCTACATATTAGTCATAGGTTTTTATATTAGTACCAAAATACCTAATAAACCTACATTTTGTTACAAATAAATGACATCGTATAATAAATCTATTATCTATTTCTTAATTTTTAATAATAGTCTAGACTCTAGTTTCACATTATATAACTCTTATACATTATACATTATAATATCTATGATAGAATATTAATGTATACTTGTATCTTCGTTGCATTTTTTTACATGAAAATTATACATTCTTTAGTCATACATTTCATTTTAGCACAAAAATGTTTATCATATACATAATGTCACACATGCTGTTTTTAAAAATATTTTTATCTTATGCCGACATTTTAATTTTAAAATCTTTTTTTTTCATTTAAACTAAAAAATAATTATTATTTTAAGTAATAAAATAACACAAATTGATCAAATATTTTTAAAAACAATATGTGTGAGGATATAATTTATTGTTAAAGACTGTGATCTTCATATAAAAAAATGCTATGAACTTTGAACATTCGAGTACATTAAACTATTTTTAAAAAAACAAACATTAAGATTGTATATTACACGGTTAATTTAACTGTCACACTCCACTTGACTTTTAAAAACTTTTTGATAAAAGATGATATGAATATATAAATATATGTATTACTTGGAATAATGATATTTTGTTTTCAAAATCAGATATCGATAATAATATCCATACGTGTTTTTTTATTAAATATACTATAAAATTTAATTTTTTTAGGTAGGTAACGTTATATGGTTTCAATGTTTTATTTTGTACATAAATACATGTATAATTAATAGTTATATACAATAAATGTAACACATAATATTTCATACCTAATATTCAATAATTGTTTATATGGTCTCACCAAAATATAATAACCTACACAGCTACACAATATTCACGAAAATTGTAGGTGTAGATTTATACTCAAAATGTGGATGTACTAAAATATATACTTAGTAGTTAGTACTTGGTCCTTAATCCTTATACTAATAATAAATCCACAAAACATCGATTTTGACTCGAGACATTAAGTTTATTACAGTGACACTAAAGCGATTATGCAATTATTATCAATGTAACAAAAATGATGATTACCTTTACATAGAAATATTGTTACTATAACATGACTTTTATGAATTTTGATTTTAACTTTTTATGGCTATTAAAATTTTTTACATTAATAAAACTCAAATGTACAAAATATAAACACGATTTATGCTTAATTGGATAAAATAATAAAAAAAAAAAGTTAAATTTGTTTTACAGTTGTGAGCTTCTAACTTTAAATTTTGCTTAATTATATTTTACTATATTAGTTACAATTTAATTTCAATGGAAACACACATTTGGGTTCGGCTATTATTGCTCATTGAATATAAAGAATTTTGTCTAACATGGAAATTTTATACAAATAAATCCGTATTCATAAATTATGATCAAAACTCTAATAAATGTATTCAAACATGTTCTACTTTTTTTCAGATTTGTATGAAAAACATTTTTGGTTAAAAAAAAAAAAAATCGAAAACTATGTACAATGTACATCTTTATTATAAATTGAACATAAATGGTGCCTTTAGAAAAATAATATTTAAATTTTTTCTAGTAGAAAAACAGTAAGAAAAAGTGAAAAAAACTGTGAAGAAATGTAAGAATTTATCGTGATTTTTAACAAAATATTGATTATTTTTATATAAAAACCGCAAGATATACTCAAAATTGCCTTTTGAATGCAATGATTTGCCAACTTTAAATATACCACCCTTCCTATTGGTTGTGTATGTCGTGAATCATTCGTTTTTGTAATAATGTACCCAATTAATTTGTTTGTTAAGTTTAAATTTACAACTTCTATGCTTAGGTAAGTACTTTATTCTATTATATAAAAATTAATCATTAAGTATTAATATCAACTATCAAGTATCAACTAACCAGCTATACTGATATCATATCCATATCGAGTGTTATTCACAAATATCTTAGTGATATTGATTTGATTATATTGAATAGGTATTGGATTATATATATATATATTTTATTTCTATAGCTGCCGATATATAATATATTATATTATTTAATTAGTGTTTTGTACTATTATTATTAATATTATTATTTATATATTATACCTAACTAGTACCTATGTCAAAATTAGTTTGTCACTAAAATTAATAAGTCAATTTTATTATATAACATAGGTAGTAGGTACCTATTATTGATTTATGCTGACAGGTATTAATATATTAATTGTATATATATTTTAAGCCGTTCAAATGTTAAATTTATTTTAGAAGGTAGGTATACCTATGAAATGAATTGTTATGTTAAATTCTAAGTTATCATCATAAACCCTTATTATACCATAAATACTTTACAATGCTAATTTTGATATGATAGGTGGAACTTGAAGTAGTAGCTGCTAAACTATAGGTACTAGCTACCCCTTACATTTTGTAGGTTTTCAATATTAAATTTACCATACAAAATAAACACATTTATACAAAAATGACATTGGTATTTTTTACTTTTAGTACAAAATGTATAAGGACATTGACGTTCTATTTAAATTATAAAAGTATCATTAGAAAAAAAAAAACGAATAAACTTTACACAATATTATAAATTATACAATATATATTGAAAGTCCCCATTTTTTTGTTGACTACTTGAAATGGTATATTGTTATTTTACATTTATAAACCATTGTCATTTAATTTTAGAACGGTTCTGAACGAAAATGTTTTTGCAGACTTGCACTATGTTGACTGCATTTGTAAAATAATTGATATTTTGCATTGTTATACTATGTACTTTACAGTAAAATCTACATTAATTTTCTAGTCAACTGCATGTACGCCATGTAAAATGTTTGGAGTTTTGTTAAAATTTGAATACCCTACAAATGTTTAAAAACCACTTATTGCTAAACAAAAAGCTTTTAAGCACTACCCTCAAAACGTTAAATTAAATAACAATTTTCACGTTGTATATAATTATAAATAATATAACAGCTAGTAATCAAATTATACTTCCCATCAATTGTTATATCATGAAAAATATGGTAAACTAAATTATAATTTAATTTTATTCAGGTATATAGGGTGTACGACTATTACTACATGGTGGAATCGAGGACGGTGTACCCAAACTTATGGAGAGTGATCAATCTAATTCACATTTTATTGATACTGGCACATTGGTTCGGTTGTTTTTATTATCTATTATCCGAAGCGGAAGGATTTAAAGGCGATTGGGTGTACCCGTACAAGCCGGGTGATTACGCAACGTTGACTAGAAAATACTTGGGATCGTTGTATTGGTCAACGTTGACGCTGACTACGATCGGTGATCTACCTACGCCAGAAACCAATGCCGAGTAAGTACCTATATATCAAATCCATAATCTATCATATATTTTTTAACATCACTTGGATGTTACAATAAATTCTAGTTTGAAACGTATGTATGAGTTGTTGTCTTCAAATAAATTTACACCAAAATAACAAGCATTCTCATTATATCCCTGTTTTTTATTTTTACGTTTAGGTACGTTTTCACCATAGTCAGCTACTTAATTGGAGTCTTTATATTCGCCACTATCGTTGGTATGTCGTTTACACGCTTGGCGGCGTATAGACTAAAAAGAACATACCGTTGTCGACCTAAAGGTGTTTATTGATATCCATATATTTTTCAGGGCAGGTGGGCAACGTGATAACGAACAGAAATGCAAACCGATTAGAGTTTGAACGGCTGTTGGATGGTGCCAAGCTATACATGCGACATCACAAGGTGCCGAGCGGTATGAAAAAAAGAGTGCTAAGATGGTACGACTACTCATGGTCCAGGTGAATATTGCATGTTGTGTACCCAACTAATTGAATTAGAAGGGCGGTTTCGAAATTCTATATACTCATCACATTTAGGTATAATGTATATTATATAAAATATATAACTCTCGTCAACTTGGCGCGCTGTCATATGTAACTCAATACATTCATTCGATCGAGCCATAACACCCATAGAACGTCTTATTTGAAATCCAGTGCCGTATATACATTGACACGTGTAGTACAGATATGTCAAAATCGAATGATTGATTAATTCCTATTTCACGTTTTGCACATGCACGCGATAAGACTAAAAACATGTTTTTTCGTGTATGTTGCCGGTTTGTTGAAGGGGACGTATTCAAGGAGGTGGCGATATAAATACGGCGCTGGGTCTTCTTCCAGACAAATTGAAAACCGAACTGGCGTTGCACGTCAATCTGGCGGTTTTGAAAAAAGTAATTTCCAACTAAATCTTATAATAATATATATACCGAAAATACATATTTACATTATTATTGGTAATCTTATTTAGGTTACAATATTTCAAGAATGCCAACCAGAATTCTTACACGATTTAGTTCTCAAAATGAAAGCTTACATATTTACACCTGGGGATTTAATATGTCGGAAAGGAGAAGTGGCCAGAGAGATGTTCATCATAGCAGACGGAATTTTAGAAGTTATTAGGTTAGCATATTTACTTTGTGTGTCTACAAAAAATAAATCAAATATTCAATAAATTATAATTGTGATTTTTTTTTTTTTTGCTATATCGTATATACAGTAGTGAAACTGGGCATGTTTTGACAATAATGAAAGCTGGCGATTTCTTTGGAGAAATAGGAATCCTCAACTTGGACGGTTTCAATAAGTATGTATTATATTTTATTTAATAATAGCATGTTCAAAAATATGTTTTAAAAAATATTTATTTATTATTTACTTATTATAAAAATAAAAATTGAAATATTAAAACGGTATTACACAACATTGTTATCTTTAATTCGGTAACTAATCTACTAAGTATAAACCGTACGTGTTATAAAATTCAATTAATAGGAGAACTGCTGATGTTCGGTCAGTTGGATATTCAGAGTTATTCAGTTTATCTCGTGAAGACGTTCTTGCCGCTATGAAAGACTATCCCGAAGCACAAGATATTCTTCAAACACTAGGCAGAAAGCGTCTTATGGAAGCAAGGAACGCAAATAAGATTGGTAGGTAATATTAATTGGATTTTATGTAGCATGTTTGATGTATTTATAAATACTATTTGTTAACCATCAGTTGCAGATCGGATAAAATCTCGAGCTGAAGCTGCAGAAAACTGTAGTGGAATCGTAGAAAAAATTCGTTGTGATGTCAAAGGACTTCGAAATGCATTTTCAAAAGGTCGACGTGGCACTAGGTAAGATGAATTAAATTTAATATATTAAAAACTATTTTATCATAATAAAAAAATTAGTTTCAAGAACAACAGTTTCAATTAAAACATATTTAATATTTAAATCACTTCAAAATATATTCACATCATTATCTTTTTTTTCATTATTGTTTATATAAATACATTATATACGAAAATGTTTAGTATATGTATAACAGTAAATAGATATAATTTATTTTAAATATTTTAATATAATTATACAAAACATTATTAAGTAATATATACTGTATTAAATTGAAGTTAACTTATAATGCAACTATGAAACTACATAAATGAAATAAAATTAATTAAAATTGTATATTGTTTCATTTATATATATAAAGTATTAGTAATAAATTTATCATATTAGTGTAATGAGGGATACATTTATTGATCTTTATAAAAAAATATACATATAACATAATTACTTTAAAATTTTACAGAGCTGTAGTCGAAGAAAGCATGGAGTTACAACCATTAACCAGTAGTGGTCGAAAATCAGAAAATACCAGCAGTAAAAGTATTTTAAGAAGAATGCCCCGAGTATGGAGCGATGAATTAGCTTCAGGGACTGATCACAGTGATGAAGACCCGAGGCCGATATCACCGGGTATTCCAATACTAAATAAAGCAAAATCAGATAAAGAACCTAAGGTTAATGAATCTAAAAAGTGCTTACTGTCGCCACCGCCTAATATGTCAGAAACAGCTCGCAAAGAATCGACAAATCAAGAAGTAATCGGTGCTGGACTTCCATTATTACAGAGGCTATTGATTCTTAAACAGAAAACCGACCAAGAAGCGGTGACGCAAAATAAACCGAAAAAAGTCGATCTAGAAGTGACTGAAAGTACACCTAAGATAAAATCAAACGTGAAATTAAAAACTCCTAAAAAAGAAAACGCGAAAAGCATAAGCCTAAAGCAACGACTATCAGAGGTACACACTAGACAGCGAAAGCCGACGACAAATACAAAATTATGGACGCTTTTGAAAAAAGCTACGGTGCTTACTCCAAAAGCCAAGTTACAAGACTTAAAAGCCGATAGTGAAATCCCACGCGACACACCGTCTCTTCAATCAAACTTGAAATCGATCGCCGATGTTTCACATATAAATAGCAGTGGTTGCGAAAACAAGTTTATTGTAATGTGCCAAAAATTAGATGACCAATATAAGCAGGGCTCATTGATTGCTCAAAACATATCGGCTCACAATAGTTTAACTAATAAATGTACTGAAAATAATATTAATAAGGAAAAATGTGATATTAGAATAGTACATAGGCCAAAAGTGTTGAATTTAAACGGCATGAAAAGATGTTATAATTCGATCAACGATCTATCGCCGGAGTATTCCGGTTTGTCATTCGTTAAGAAATTGAAAATACTTAACGAACGACAAAAGCTGGCCGAACTGGAAGAGAAAGCATTTTTGAGAAGTTCCAGCCTGGATTCATCTGGATGCAAGACTTTGGACGTTTCGCGTGCTAATCAGTTAACACGGAGTCACTCGGAAGCGGTTGCCTTAGAGGTGGTACTGAGAAACCAGAATACGCGCAAACAGGAATCATTGAGCTGCAGTACTTCACTACCAGATGAGTGTAACGAAACGGCTGAGCGAATACGACTTAAGAATATACTTAAGAAACTATCATCAAATTGTTTCGGTAACGAAAAAGTGAACCAGTTGATGGATTCACAGACCATAGAAGGATACGCTGCCAGACATTCAAAAATGACTAGAAACGTTACGTTCAATCAACGTCGCACAATAGAATCATCGCCAGATTCTTGTACCTCCTTATTTACGTTTCCCGACAGCATAACTTCGCAGTGTAAAAACCCTAATCTTATACCAATAGATTTGTCTCATAAGACTGACTTGCTAGAGTCTTCCCAAAATACTTCAAAGCATACAAAACTGTCCAAACGAATGTCTAAAAACACTGTACAGTGCACGTCGAGTTGGCCAGATATTCGACAAAACTGTTACGACGAAATATTAAATGGTGTGAAAACAATTGTAGAGAAATGTCTAGTAAGTACAAATAATTATATCATTTTTTTTCATATATATAAAAAATTTGCTTATATTATTCTTGATGCATTTTTTTATTAATATATTAAACTAAAATTATAAAGATTTAATTTTTCACCTGATATATATTTTTTAAATATTTTTTGAAAATGTATTATTTACCTATGTACCCGATTGGGTAAGACTACTACTTTTATTAGTCTCGTTAATGTCATTATAATCAATTAATTTGCTAATTTTTACTTTTTGAATACCTGAATTACTTTATTAGATTGTGTTTAATATTAATTTATAAATTGTTCAGAATGATATTGAAGGAAAATATCGTAATAAAATAGATGAACTCGAAACCGAAATTAACAAACGAGATTATACAATAAGCACACTTTGTGAACAATTCAATCAGGTAATTTTTTATTTTTAGATTTCTTTATAATTATATTTTAAAATCAATTTGTAAATGTCTAGAAACTTTGTGATCAACCTATCGACGAAGGTAAATTAGGATCATTACTTGATAATTATTCAAAAAATATAGAAGAAGACGAAGAAAATCCATTTATTGTGAGTTTCATTAAAATACACAAAATAAAAAAAAATAAACTCAAATTTAATATTAACTAGTTATGTATTTAATAATAACAATTTTTTCTAATCAATATTTAAAAAAAATGGTTTTTAAATATATAATTATTACGACTATTATAGTGGGTAATTAATCTCAACATTCTTTTTAAAAATTAATTATCTACATAGTCAATATGTTGCATTTTTAATATTCTTTGTTACTCTCTGTTTAATGGTTATTCGTGTTCTTAAAGGCGTGAAATGAATTTTAATGACTTTCAGAGAAATGATTCTGTAGATACAGTCATGTGTCCAAAACTATCTTCGTTCAACAGCTTATCACCATTCAGAGTGGATGACCCGAGGTATAACAACTCAAATTCTCACAGCCTAGCGTTATTATCTAGTAAATCTTGGGAAGACCGATCAGAAGAAGAGAACATGGAACTTCGAGACTTGCCAAAGTCGATTATTCCAGAACCATCATGGCAACACGACGAGACTAGAATTGATATGAATTTTACAGACGACGAAGAAGAGGAGTTTCCACCCAGATGGGAAAACTGGGAAGCAGAAATGTTGGTGGGACACACTAGTCACAGCGATCTCCACGCTGGCCCAGAACTTTTGAGCCGAAGGTCTTTAGACGAAAATAGTATGATGATACACAGAGGACTTCAGGGACGGAGAAGGTGTTTGTCAATAGATAACGTACCGTTTTCCAATTCAATATTAAGAAATTTTGGACAGTACGTCCGTTTGGGGGGCAGTTCGTCACAAATGCCTTCACCCGACATACTTCCAACTATATCTAAGAGTTGTTTTTCGTTGGTATCGCAACCCGAAAATTAGATTAAAATTTAACTGATTATTATTATTACTATTAGATTCTATTATTAATAATATTGTTGTTATTATTGTTGTTACTGTTATTGTTGTTGTTATTGTTGTTGTTTTTGGTTACACAAAATTTTACAAAAACAGGATAGTTGCATGGTCTTATCATGACTTTATTATAATTGTTCATACCTCAATATTTTAGTAACAAACGAATTTATTTTTAAGTTTTTTGAACATAATGTTATAATTTCAAGTTTGCCATTCTAGTATTGTGCCAGGTATCATAAAAATTTGCCATCAAATATGTTAAAAATAGGGACCAATAAAAGTTTAGTTTTAGACGGATTTCCACAGAAATTGACACAGAAATGCATAATTTTCTACCGATGTCTGATACCACAATGTACTTAGTAGTAGGTAAATATATGTTTATTTTAATAGATTTTTTTTTTAATTTGTTTAAGTTTTAGACAAGTTATATTTTTACGTAAACCATGAAATAATTGGCTTGGTAGGTATTGGCAATAAATATTATTACACCATTTAAAAAATATATATTTCGGATTCATAGGTATATAAATAGGTAATCAAGTTTCATAATGTGAAGAGTTATAGAGTAATCTTAAATAATATTTTGAAATGTGAACTAATTCAAACAAATTATTTTACATTCTGTGCTTATTTTATTATCAAGGTTAGGTTATACATGAAACGTACAAACATTTCATTTCAAAATAAACTGTGTATCTTACATACGTATTCCGTATATTAGTTGAAAATTTTGATTCATAGTATAAAAAAACCCAGACTGCTTAAAAAATCTTTGATCTGTTAGGATTATGTTTTATCCCACACGAAACACTCATTTATTAAATTTTTATATTTATTTTGACTTTCAATTAAAATGGAGTGATTGGATTTTAAAACACAACACAATTATTTTTTTTTATTTTTTTTTTTTTGCTAAATTATTTGATATTCATGAACAAGTTCATATGAAAAAATATACGATATTACTATGCAACTACTCTAATCCTATTATATATTGCATTGCGCTTGAGGCTTGACCTAATGTTTGTTATTATGAACGAACATTAATAATATCCGTATGCATTGATAATTTTCCTCGTAAAATAATTCATTTTTGGTCACAACAACAAAAAATCCAAATATTTTATATTTGTATTCGTGATATAAAACGAAAACAGTTATTAAAGCGATGGTCAAATTAGAATAGTCAACTGTCGCTAAAACAAACGTCCACGTATCGATAACTCCAATGTATATTGATATTTAATATTTTTTCCACACCTAACCACGTAAATTTAACAAAATTTTTCTCTCCGACATTACTTATTGTATTTTTAGAATATTATCTGTAATAAATTAACTTAGACTAACTTAATTATGGTCGTAATTGTACAATTGTTTTTTTTTTAGTATCAAATAAAATGTCAAACTTTTTGTAATTTTTATAAAAAAAAAAAAAAATTAATGCATAATCTTTAGCAAAACAACTTTATGACGAAACTGATTAATTTCAGATCATTATACTAAGACTAAATTTAAAATAAAATGCTATTATTTTATAATATTGTAATATATCTATAGGGACCAGTGTAATATTCATACTTATAAACAGTAAAATATTAAATTATTTATTACTAAATTTATTCATAAATATTATTTCTACTCAAACTCAGAAATAATTAAATATTTTTGTATTGTTTAACCATTGAATCAACTATAATAATTTCTTTTGAATATCTGCTTTAAACTAATTTAATATTTATTAAATATTATATGTTAATTAATTATTCTACTACCTATTCACAATTTTTTTTTTTTTTTTTTAATTGTAAATAGGTATTATTTAGTTCAACAATCAGTTCTATCAATAAAATTATATTTTTTTTATGATATTTCTTATCGGAGAGAAAATATTTTGAGTGGCGAGGAAAGGAAAGTAATTTATTTATTTATATTTAATTTTACTGTATAAATTATAATGTGTCATGTATATAATTTATAATACGTAATTATAAAGTAATGTATTTGTTACAAATAGTTTGATAGTAATATTGTTGTACATAGTTGTAATTTTTTTTTATTTAATTATTTATTCAAAGTTAATTATATCTATAAATGACATTGTTATAAATCTCGTTCAATCCTTACTTTAATAAAGCTTTTGGCTTTGAAAAATAGGTGTTTAGACATTTGGTCACACAAAATCATATGTCTCAGAGTATTATATGTCAATTTATATTTTGATAAATATATTTCATTGGTACATTAAACAATACTATTAACTTAAATAGTTTACTAGAATTGAAATCATTCAATAAAATAAAATAAAATAACATTTTACAAATGTTTAGATTGCGTTACTGAATATGATATTCTTGGTGTACAAAAAAACGAAATTTACTTCAACTACTAAAATGAATACAACTAAAAGGCTTCAGGTAAAAATTAATTCCAACCTTGTTAAAATAAAATTAAAAAATACCCCTGAAACAATTTTTATTACGTTTTCAATTAATATAATTTTACTCGGTGTGATGTAATATGAAGATCGCTGATAATTCCATATTATTATGTATCAACACAAACTACTACAAAAATCGTCAATTGATCCACTCCAAGTGAGCAGAATAACAATTGAATTTTTTCTATATTATCATTATCATTGACAGTCAATTTGATATGCAGAATGTTAGTATACACAGGGCCGAATTAACATTGGTGCAAAAGGGACTTTTGCTCCAGGTAACATATTTCATATATTCATTAATATTATTATATCAAAATGAAATATATTATGTTGTTTTAATAAACCTTTATTGATAAAACTGATAAAAGGTACCGAATATGAATTGCTCTAAAGCGGCTCTGATACTTAATACAGTTCGAATATATATACAATCAGTATTACATACAAACGTATAAATCGTCTAATTACAAACATAGCATAACTAAGATACTTGTAACTGATAAAAAATCCATTTATAACTTATTCATAAGTATAAGGTAAATATCTAATGGTTTTCAGTTTCATTAAATTGTAAACATTATAATGAAATAACTTTTTTAAAAACCAAGTTAACGATAATCAATAATTATAATGCGTTATTAATGAGTCCCCGATTTTGATGCCTTAAAAATATGCTTTTATAATCTGAAAATAAAAATTACCCTTTGAAAAAAATATTCTTAAGCATACCTTTAAAATTTTCGAAATTTTAAGTTATACAGTATAAGATATATAGTACAGTTACTAAAGTGGGAGATGGTATTTTGCGCCAATTTTATTACTTGTAATTTGCGCCACGAATAGGTAAATTTAAGTACGTATGTAATTTGCGCGAAAATATAATAATATAACAGTATTTTGCGCTACATAAACAAATTAATTTCGGTATTTTGCGCCACGACAGTAAATTATGAAATGGAATATGTAATTTGCGCCACACTTTCTACTTCAATAAAATTGTAGTTGGAATTTACCAGCAGATAAATTTACTGATATCTCATAGGATATACAATAATACGTTCCGACGCGTGTCCAATATAATTTTTATATTGATTTTTATATATTTTATTACTTAACGAAAATTCACTTATTTAATATACATGGAGTTTGTTTTACTTACATACATTTATTTATAATTTTAATATTAGTGGCGCTAATTACAATTTTAGTAACCTACACGATGGTACAGATTACACAATGCCTTTTTATTTGACGCAAATTACCAAAATACATTTTTAGATGTGACGCAAATGACATATATATTTATTTTTTTATTTTTTATTTTTTTTTTTTTTGGTTATTTTTAGCACAAATTACATACGCCCATTAAAGTGTATGATTACTAATTACTATTCATGATGTAGTCTAGTAGTGGTAGAAATAATGAAAAAATATTTGTTTTAAACAATATCTATTTAATTTTAATACATTAAGAATAAATTAATCGAGAAATTTTATCGTAGAGATTAATATAAACATAAATCGGAAATAAAATGTATCAGGCGTTGTAGTATACAAGCTAAAAATTAAACTGAAACAACATTGTCGTTGAACATGTCAATAATGAATAATACCAATCTCAACACGTCAAGCTACTACGTAATACGTAGTACGTACCTATTAGATTCAACTGAAAATCGAGAACAAGCCTATCATTCTTGTTCGGAGCTTTTTAAAGTAACCTAGTTTTCTATTAACAAAACTACCGATCGTATATTCGTATGTCTTTTAAATCGTATAATATGGGACAGTCCATTTTCACGACACTGAGCGGAGTAGAAAACAAGTCTATCGTAGATTCGTGAGTATTTGGTCATTAATCACGAGAATAAATCAACAAACTTCTCGAGAAACAGATAACATTTAAATATTTTATACTTGATGACGAAACAAAATTAAAAACAGCTAAGAAATAATATAAAACTACTTTAAATAGCCGCTAGCCAATATGAGTCTGTTGAATTTTAAAATTAAAACAAATAGTAATCACCAACAAAGCACATTATTATAAGTATAATATTAAGTTAATATAATAATAATTTAAAATTAAATTTATCTAAAATACTCTAAAGTCTAGATACTATTCTAGGATAAAATTTTCAAACAATAAATGTAACAATAACGTTTTTTTTAATAAAGTAACTAAAGGAAGTTTAATAGACTAAATAAATGCTTTTGATAATTAATCGTTACATTTTAGTGAATTACCCGTGCAATTTTAAATTTAAACAAAAATAAATATACGTTTCTATTAAATACTAGTAGGAATCATTATAGTAGTACACTTGTACGTAGAACATTAGATGAATAAGTATAATCATCATAACTACCAAGTCTTTAAAATAAACTCAACATGTTTATAACCGAAGTATCCTTGCTGTTAGTTAGATACTTTAGAAATTTTTTCATAAAACTAAAATAAATGTCTAAATAAAGAAAATGAAATATACTACATGGTAATTATACGTAGTATGCGTAATATGTACTTTAAGATTTCCACGTAAGTGACTTCATTTGTTTACATGTATAATGAGAGGTATTATATGTGCCGTATTATTGTTGAAATAATAGTTGTAAGTAACGCGTCAATGTAATATATATTTATACTTACTTTAAGGCCCCAGCAAACATGACATTTTTAAGGAGTTGTGTCTAGGCAAATATTTTGTTTCTAGCAGTCACTGCTCGTCTTTATGACGTGTGTAACTGTGTAAATAAATGATCATTAGTGTATACTTCCCATTGAACTCTATATGATAACTGGAATGCTCACCAAGCAGTGTTGCCCGAAAGAGGATGTTAGAATGAGATAGCACATACTAATGGTGTTACTATCTTTGTCTTGCACATGGCGCTAATGTCTTAATTTCATATTTTACCGCGATATTATTTTAGTTTGGTTCTTAAAATGTAGTTGCACCTCATTATTTTTTTTAACTTCCACAAAATATTTTTTATTAATTTAATAAAATATAAATAATTAAATGATAAATAAATAGTTTATTAGTTTATAATTATAATTTAAAATAATATAACAAGTATTGAAACATGTTTTTTTGTAGACTTCTGCATTTTTTTGTCATATAAAGGAAGTAATAGGAAATTTTAAGTTGGGAATAAATTAAGTTGTAAATTGAAAGTTAGAAGGTTTTAGTTCATAACTCAAGCATATGAAATAACAACTGCATTTTTAGTAAAATAATATTTATTAAAATATAAACATAGTATTTATAATATTAATCATAATTGAAATAAAAGTGTACTTACGCTATTTACCTGGAGCTATATCTACTACTTACTTTAGATTGTACTTACTACTTTCCTAACTTAAGCTTAATATTGTAGATTTATAATTTAGGAAATATTAGTACTGGAAATATCCAGAAAAACAAAATCTGCAATACATTTTGTTATACTTCATGGCCAAATTTCCTAAAATAAATAAATATTTAAAGATACTATGATACTTTGTAGATACTTTAACTATATTCATAACCTTGGAGTTATATGATCTGTTAAGTTAACTAATGTAACTTATGTTGAGTTGACTTCAGCTAGATATTTTATTAACATTTTTTTCCCACTTACAACTGCTGAATAGAAGTCAGTTTCATTGAAATGTAAACTACATAAAGTTGTATTGGAACTAGGTTTAAAATCTTTCCTTCGAACAGCATGCACCCATTTTTGAAGCCTCTCTTTATCTTTAAGAGGGAACCTTAAATATTAAAATAATAGATGTAAATCTGTTTAAAAATATCAATGAGTAAAATCAATAACACCATATAATAACTTAATACTAACTTGTGAAATGACAAGTCTTTTCTAACATCACTAGAGCTAGCACAATTAAAGGCACTACAAAAATTCACCATTTTAAGTCTTAACTGCACAGTAGGTACACACTATTTTAATTATTTTTAAAACTTTGAGAACGCAGAAGGCAGAACAAAAGTCAAAACGTTAAACGAACAACGAATTTAAAATGTATTGGTAATCAATTCATATAACTATGTGTGATAAAAAAAGATAGCAACACCATTCTTATCTGCTGTCTTTTTCTAACACGCTATCTCGGTTATGTTTACATTGGTCTTATGACTGGTGAGCATTCCAGTTATCATATAGAGTTCAATGATACTTCCCTACATCATCTGCGACCCGAAGCAATGTACAATTCGTTGTTATTTCTTATCTGGTTTTTCGATGGTCGGACATAAAAACAACACGTAAATATTACGAAAATAAATCATATAAATGTGCAATATGTATATTATTATTATATTGTACATAAAACAATAAATACAATAATTGTATTTATTATTTTATATAAATAAAATTTATATAATTTTTATAATTTTATAAATTATTTATGTTACTTAAATTATTAAATGTAGTAATAATGGACAATGGTACCATACCATCTAGTATATGGTTAACAAAACTAACAAAAATAAAATAAAGACGGATAAAGTAAATATTTTAACTATTTTATTTTATTTGAAAATAATATTATATTAAACACTAGAACTAGACATGTTACTCGTCATAAAAAAATGTTGGATAAATTATTTCTGGCAATAAATAACCTAAGTATAACTTCATTCAGAATTCATTTGTCCCTGAACTTGGAAGTAATAAGTATGATTTTTCTTTAAATACAATTTTTTGATTCTATTTCCATATAATTGAATTTATTATGTTTTTAGCATTGTTTGGGAAAACAATTTTTCTGAATATAGACAATTTCGATGATGGTATCATTTCCAATTATGTCATCTGGTGATGCAGCTAAAAACGGTAAATTAAAATCGATGAATAAACTAACTGTAAGTACTTTACAACTGTACATAGTTACAAACTGTTTTTTCTGTTGATTAAAATTGAATTCCGTAACTACATAATGAACAAATAAAATAAATTAACTATAATATTAATAATTTTTAAAATAAATATAATCTCATTAATACCACAATTTACCTAGTAAGTAATAGCAGTAATTCTATACTTATATGGGAGAAATGGAATTAGTAGAAAATGGAAATGACAGTATTTTTCTCGTGATAATTTTACGCGATTAGCAAATTTTACCAAAATCAGAAGCTGTTTATCTGAATACATTTTTTCAATTCCTCTCTACTAGATTATTAATGATAAATATGCACGACTTATTTTAAAAATTTAATTTAAAGTTTATATTTTGACAAAATTCGTTAAAATTTGCAAAATGATTAACTTTATTTTATAATTAAGAATTTGTAAAATGTTTAATTTTTTTTGCTAAAATTTGAAAATTTAATACAAGATCTTCATAAAAAGTTTTTAGTAGAATCAAAAAATTTTAAAATAAAATATAAGAAAATTTTTTTTTTATTAATTTTGAGTTTAAATCTGGACATAGTTAAATAATAGAACTAAAAATAAGGATTTTAATTATTTTGTTGTGATCCAAAAATGATATTTGTGCCACATGGGACTTGAAACTTTCCGTATATACTATATTGTTAAACTATTTATTGTGTGCCTATTATTCTACAGTTCGTCAACATTGGCTAAAAGTAAATAACATAATATTATGATATAAATATTACTGAATATTGTAATATTTAAACATAATAATATAATTAATACGATTTATTCATCAAAAATTAATTCAACCTTCCGTATTATTATAAAAATGTATAACATAATACATTAAACAATTATTATTTACTATCAATTACGAGGTACACTGTACACACATCATCTGCTATTCTACTGTACAGTAAAGTGGATACTTTAACAGTAGTGGAGAGGGTAGTTACTTTTTATTTTTAAAAACTGGTACACAACACACCACATGTAAGTACAATGTTTATAGTCTATGATATATTAAAAATTTTATAGAAATTAAAAGAAAAAACTAAATCATCTGTGCAAACTGTACCTACATCATAAATTATGATTTATAATAAAATTGGATAATATTACTTCGTAATAAACATCATTACACAAATACTATATTTTATACTTTTATGGTATTGTGGTACAATAATAAACCATCGGTCGATCAAATATTATTTTATTGTAAGCGACGATGTGCATCACTATTCACTACATCAACATCAGCGATCAACAACATCGCGTATTATGTACAATTGTGTTAGTTATATGTGAACATTTATTTATTTTAAATAATATATAAATATTTGTTTTCATGTCTGCATACCTACATATTTTATATGTATACTTATATTATATTTATTACAATTATTCAATTATAGGTATTTATGATTAGGTAATGTAATTACTAATTAGTGTAATGTGCTGAAATTGTATTCTTCCGTTCCACAAATTTGTTGGTACGATTCAAAAAAATACATAACAATAGAAATTAAAAATGCAGAATACTGAATTCTGGTACTTAAACTTAAAAATTAAATGTTCAGAGTTTCTCAAATACTTACAATGTTTACATAATTTTAAATAAATCGTCATTAATTGTTATCCTGTTAAATTTTAATAACTTACTGAATAGAATATTCGAAAACTCAAGCTGAAATTATTTCAAATGTGTATCCATTGACATGTGTACTAATGTGTTATGAGAGGAACAACGAATTTATCACAAAATACGCAAAGTATCAACAAGTAATAAGTATTTTTAATGATAGTCAATTTGTATCGGTTTCTATACTGAAACAAATAATATTAAAAAAGGATTTCAAAATATACTACTTCAAACATGAATACTTTCTACCATTTGACGCGGCTTCCCACGTCGGTTTTTACAGGAGAAAGATATTTCAATAAACTGACATTAACAAAAAATTATTTACATTCAACCACAGAAGAGAATCATCTAAATCATTTAGTACTTCTTTCCATTGAACACAAGTTAGTAAAGAATATAATATATAGATTATGATGATGTAACAGACAGCTTTACTGAAAAAAAAAACTAGGAAACAAGTTTTCTGATAGCATTCTTAATACCTATTTTATTAAAATAATAAAACAATTCAATTTTTTTTTTTAATTTTCTAAATTTATATAATCTATTTATTGAATCCTATAAATATCTAAGTTCTTATTTTCTATGAATATTTATAATATATATCTAGGGTTAGGTATATTTTTTTTCTTTTAGTATATTTAATAATATATAGTTCAGAAATTATTTAAAATTCACCAAACCCACAAAATGTACCAGTACATACATTTTAATGAGATTAGTTGTGATTTGCCATTAAGGTTTGGAAAAATACATTTGCAAGAATTTTGTTGATGCACATATGTAAGTATTTATTTTTTTTTAATCATATCGTATTATGCTGATCTAAGAGCTCCCGCATTAATTTGCCTCTGGCTCCGGAAAACCTTTGAACGACTCTGTGTTGAATACACTTATAAGTTATAAGTATAACAAAAAAAATTTATATATGTTTGTTCCTACAAGTTTATTAAAATACCATTTCACTCTTTAGATAAATTTTATAATAATATTCCCGATATGTAAAATGATCACATTTCTATAGACTATAATAGATAATTATTATAATATAATAATATTATCTTTACTACACCATTTATCTAGAATTATCACTATTTTTAATAAATTCGATATATTATATTCATTTCATAGTAACCGGTAGTCTTAGTAACAATATTTAGTGATTATTTCTAACTAATAAAATATATTATGGTTATAATATGAGAGTATTTTATTTTTAAACTTAGAAAAACCTATAATCAGTATTTATAATGAACCTATGTAGTTTCCGTTTACTTCTCCACAAACATGATTGGGCAACGTCACTTCTGCCGAATATTATATACTACGTCTTTTCAATCAAATTATTTTATAAATTATATTTTATTAAGGATTGTTTTTGTAAAAACTATTTAGACTAATTTGATAGAAATTATTAAATTACTGTAGTTTCATTATTTTATATTTAATAGATTTAATAGAATATTTTACAAAAACCATACGTTTGGTACTTATTACTTTGTTATTAAATATTATATTTTGTATTTTATTTTACAATAATCTCTTTTACAAATCTTTTAGGACTTTAAACTAAATAATTAATTTATTACGATTCAATACAGAATATACAATTTAATACTGTATTATTATTATTATTTTTATTTTTTTTTTCATAAAAGCCTCAATATCACAGTTTATTGCTTAGAGAATTAGATCCATATTAATAAATATACAAAAAAAGAAAAAATACAGTTAATAATGGTTCTTTAAGGTATAGGAAAAGTCGACTCTAGATAATTCGAAGTTGATGTAATTTAAGAAAAATTTCGAATTATTAAGGTTTGAATTGGTGAGTTGTTCGAAATATCATAAGAAAGCTAAAAGAATTCGAATTACTGAGAGTTAAGAAAAAAATCTTGTTTCTTTATTATTTTACATACATAATTAATAAATATTTCAGAAAATTAGGCGGTATTACAGTTATTTATTGTTTTTAAAATGTAAATTAAACTATGTAAGTATATAATTTTATTATACTATGTAAATATTTAAATATGTAAATTAAATTATTACGTATTGTAAACAGGCGATTG